CACTGAGTATCTGAAATATGACTATCACTCATTAGGAACATAATTAAAGAGGCAACACTGGCCCCCCATCACATACAGATAAAAACCAATAACCCTTAATCTATTTGTTACCATGGCTACCATAGGATTATTTTATTTCAGCAAAACTCTAGGAATTTCGTTTGGATTGTTGCTTGCAAATGAAAGTTGGAGACATCTACATTTCCACAGCTGCCCTAGAAATGGAGAGTCCAAACAGGAGAAAATGTTTTTCTTAATCAAGGACAAACATGGTTTATAAATTATTTGTGTATTAAAACTGGTTAAGTGTGTCAGCCCATAAACCAATTTAAACATCATTAAGGGCACATATGCTAGTAATTTCCTGATTTATAGCAAGGTGATAAATCAAATGTGCTCCTGAAGAAGTACAGCGCCAAGGCATATTCATCCGGGGCACACAGCGCCCTCCATACCTGTGGAAACACCCGGCTGTGTGACTAGTAAATACATGCAAGCCAATCAACCCTTGAGGTAGCCACCTGTGCTTCCTGGACATTCTATGTGTCCATCTGAATGAACCATTTATAAAACTGCTCCGTACCCTCCAGTAAAAAAAAAAAAAAATAAAGTTAGCTGTACAACTTCCCCTTAATGAAAACAAATCAGAAAGGACATGGGATTAACTAAATCTGTTGTCATCCATCCTAAGCTGCAATCATTCTTCAAACCTGCCCTCCCAAGGCTGAGTTAGCACTAAGACCACACGCCAAAGGAAGAAACTGTAGGGACTAGACAAATGACTTCAAAGAGACTGAAATTAGGGTAAATACAGCTGTAACCAGGACAGATTTGTCACTGCGAGACCGTTCCAATGCCAGCGTTGCTCGGTGGACGTGGGGCCGGAGCCTGCAGCGTTGGAGCCCAAATATCCCTGAGCTGCGTGGAAGTTTCTCGGGCAGCGGCAGCTCAGCGTCCTCAATGTCTCTAATCCCTCCAGCGATGAGGTCTCGCCTAATGCTACATAAATACCTGTGTCCACGACCTGCCTGGGGCGCGCCGCGAAGCAGGCACGCCAGGGAGAGAGAGAACCTGAACCAAGCGGGCGGCCTCGGCGACAGCGCCTCACCCAGCAGCATCCCTGGGGACCCGGGGGAACCTGCCGCCTGCCCACGTCTGCCTCGGGGTCCAGAGCCCGGGAAGACACCTGGCGACTCCGCAGGAGGACCCAG